GCTTGAGGATTTGTGCCGACATTGCCTTGGCTGGTGGAATGAAAATGAGCACCAGGGCGAAGAGTGGGTGGCTTGTCGGGGAAGGGAGGAGATCCAGGAGGAGGAAGGAGCGGAGGGGGTGGAGGGGGAGGTTAAACATGGTGGGAAAACGCGGACGGCCCGACTTGCTACCCGTGGTGGCTGCTGTGAATGCTTTAAGTGCCTGGTTCCGTATGGTTGGCTTCTTCCGTCGTATACTTGAAGCGACTGCTGCTGCTCCTGAGTGCTATTTCCTGTAAAACAGGCCGTCGAACACCTCGCTGGGACCTCCGCACCTAGCGGCTTACTCTTTACATCCTGTCCATGGTGCCGACCCCACACCTGCCCAAGCCTCCTAACATAGTCCGCGTCTTGGTGTTTCACATTGGCGGTCAGGCGCAGCATGGCTTGGCCCCTTTTCAATGCTCCCGATTTGCAGCCAGTGGTGTCCGTAGCCCTGTGGCGGGCGAAGCGCTTTCTACACCTGATACCAGGGCCAAGGGCGGTCAACACCGCCTTTCACCTGTGATGAATCAAACATGTGCGTAACTTTAGGAAATGTCTTCCATGTACGTGACGGCAGAGGCAACATAAAGGCCGTGGCGACATATCGGTCGATGCGCCTTGGGGAGGCGGTCGACGAAAAGGCGATGGGTATCACTGTAGAACGCCCGTCCCCCCAAAGCCTGAATTTGTGTCCAGCCTAGAGGGATGCAGTGTCAGAAAGCGGGTTCGCCATACATGTGGCCATGTTGTGCAATCTTCTCCGTGCACGCGGCCTGGACTGAGACGTCGGGGGTGCTTGCATGGCTTTATTTCTTTACCTCCTCAACGAAAATGTGGCTCTCTTTCCGACTTGGATGGATACTACATCAAAAAATGCGTCCTCACGCACACAGTGCGTACACATGTGCAACATTTCATCCGTAGAAGGATCACAGAGGACGTGATGGATCTTAATCGTGCCTTAGTATTGGTCTTTGGTGGGCAGATATGGTTGTGGCAAGGACCACGTTTCAGGGGGGGCCCTGCGACACGGTAGCCTGTTCACAGTTTCATGATATATTCTTCCTGATTATGTCACAGGCGTAGGAACATCGTCCATGGCCAC